TTATACAAATTCGTCTTCAGATCTATACGTAAATAATATAGGTTATTAGCTGACCTGGATTGTGATAGAAAATATCCAATGAAATGCATAAAATATCTAATGCCATGGTTCACGAGTGGACTGTCTTACTTATAGGGATGCCCATATGTCACATCAAAGATGAGATTGATTTACCCATTGTACTTTAGAATTGTAACAAATCTTAAATACACTTGAATAAACTGACCTGTTATCTTGTCGACTTTAAAGCCAACATACAGATAGATGGCCGTTATATCCTGAGAAAAGACCTCGATGAATGATTTGAAAGTTAAACAAATCTTAGTTTTCACAGGAACGAATATTTTTGTAAAACTGTTGTAGTGATCAGATCATCAATGACACGTAATAGGATGAAAAATGTTGTCCTGCATGTTTCTTTAAATGTAAACTCAATGTAAATGTAGTCCTGCTTTTTTATTTTACACTCTATTCGTTCTATTCTTTCCTGCCTTTCTTAATTAATAATTTATCCTCACTTGTTTTACATAAGTCATCATGCCTTTTTTTTCTTTTTGGCAAGATGTCCATCCTGCCTTTTTTCTCTCTAAACTCCCGTCATGCCTTTTTTTCAAATTTCAAACTTCTTCGTGCATGTGACTACATATTCGATTAATTAATTTCAAAAGAGATAAGAAATATCTGAATTGATAAGTTCTACATTGCATGTAAAAAAAATCCATTGAAAGAATATTGTATAATTAGAAATCATTGTCCGCTGTTGGAAGTTCTGTTTCGCCAATGTTCGTGATTGTCATGAGACGATAATTCAGGGGTTTCGATTGTTAAACTCATTAAATCAAATAACGAACATATTCCATCCCAACATGAGAAAGAGTGGCTCATTTGCCTCTATCAATGTTTATCATTTATAAGATGTTGTACTTTCAATGCTATTTAAAAACGCAGAGTAATATTTCAAAATATTTGATATACAAATTTTAGATTGTTCATCTTAAAATATATTCAGAAGATAATGTGAAATATTAAAGAATCATGATATGAATTTAAAAAAAGAAGAAAACATATATTTTGTCAAATTTGAAAATCCAACTGATTAAAACTCGTATTGACCTCTAAAATTCTATACACAGAACACAAGTACTTATAGTATCTCAAAATTTCCAAATAGAGCCCGTTTTATAAACGCGCACTGGCCATAATTGTTTTATTTCAAGCGTTTCTGAACTATTTTTGAAGATTACGAATCCGTGGCTTCATTGCACATTACGCAAAATACATTTTGTTTTTTTTATTAAGAAAATAAAATACACAGTTTCTTGTGTGTAAAATTATTTCAATGGAAGCTTTCTGAAGGTATTTGATAGGACATACGCCAATTCATGAAGGCGTGACAAATTGTCACGAATGTCCAATCAGGTTTTTCTGTTGTTCAAAATTTGACGTGCGGTGATGTTTGAACAGTGTTGAGTTTATTCTAAATTTGTCATTTCGGAGCCTTTAATATCTTAGTATGCTGTATGGATTTTGCTCATTGTTGAAGGCCGTACAGTGACCTTTAATTTGTAATTTCTACGTTATTCAGTCTCTGGTTAAATTATCTCATTAGACATTATCCCATCATAGATGATCAGGTGTGATATAAAAAAGAAAACCACATTATCGTATCTCGGATATATATCTATTAAATATAATACAGAAAACTTCAGTAAGATTGAGTACAACAAAAGCTTTGCCTTATTAAATCCTTGATGATGTCTCCTTCAGACTGTCAAACACCGTCACCCTAATTGTTAACATGGTATTAAATGTAATAAAATGCTGTAAACAATAGTAAACTGAGTATAATAATTTATTCACAGTACACACTCCTAATTTAGTTGTGGTGATAGAAATCTTAATATCATTGATACACAGTTGAGAATTATCGTGCAGTTCTTCAATAGCAGATTTAAACCTTATTAATATTAAACCGAATCCCCCATGCAGCTGTGGCCATCCTGTTGAGGATAGTATTCACTATTTTTTAAGTGCCCGTTTATCAACGAAGCAAGAGAAATATTGTTTTCAAAATTAGAAAGATCTACTATATCCATTTTGCTTCTATTGGCTGGTGACGGTGACCTTTCATTTCAGCAAAACAAAGAAATTTTTGAGTCTGTACAATCATATATCAGAAATACACACAGATTTAGAACATTCAATTAAAATTCGGAATTCCTACTTCCCAACTCTTCACTCTAGTCCAGTTTTATATATTACTCTATATTATATTATACTTTTTGTTTTTGAGACAAGGCCATATTTTGTCAAAAGAGAAGCACAATTACCCCAAAGCGAATTGCGAGAAGTGGTTTCGTATTTCGTTATAGAAAAAAAAATACTAGTAGTTTATGTAATGTCACGACTCTCGTACGGTGTCGCGTAAATTGGTGCAATTGGATGCAAAAAAATGATGACCATAAAATGTCAGGTTTGCGAGATCAGACAGTCCCCTAACAACTAAACAATTGAAAATCTATGGTTCAATATTTTACATTCGTCAGCAATGAGCAATTTTCATAAATAAAACATTTAGTCGAATACTTTGCGAGTAAAGAAAAAGAGACTACCATAGATTTGTTATTAACCCCAGATACTTGATGGGTACAATTAAGTATTCAGGAGTTACCCTTTTTGCATTAAACCACATTACAACAGAAATTGGAAAATATGGCCTGGAAGTATTTTTAAGACATTGTTGTTTTCCTGTTCTATGTAGCTTTCTTACTGGCAAACATGGTGATAGATTTTATAGATGCTGTCAGGCACCGACCATTGAAAACAATCGATCTATTTAAAATAAGAAATGAAAATAACTGTTTGGTGGTTTTTTTTGGCAAATAAGAAAAATGACTGTTTGATTGTTTAAAATTATTTTGAAATAGATTTATGAAAATAATTTATTTACATGTGAACATGCTATACTTTGTGGCGTAGGGATGTGATTGGGTGGTTTTGTTTACATTTTTCCCCCATTATTTCGGCAGTGAAAATCTGCAATAATTATTGTTTTATCATGTTGTTTGATTTACACATTATAACAAAACTGAGAATATGATAGATGAATTTATAGTTATCTGTTTAATGTCCAGTGGCAACTATTAGATGTATTATAAGAAGGACATTTAAAATGTTATAAATATGAACAGGGACATTCTTTGTTATGCAAACATGTGTATCACGGCACAAGCGATGACCTATAGACCGTGTGTATCATATGTTTATTTAGGGTGGGGTTGCTCCGAATAAAGGAGGTATAAGAGATGCAGGAAAATAAAGAAAAAAAATATAAAATTAGAGTATAACGGGAAAAATAAAGAAGAGAGGAAAATAGTTGAGAAAATTAAAGAATAGAGGGTTTAGTTTTTTTGCCGGACAATTGTTGATGATTGTTTAAAGTCAAGTGCATTTATAGTTAAAATAATACACAATCGTATGTACATTGGTAGGGATTTTTTGTTTAGGGTTGATGAGGCACATAACGACTATTGTTCTTATTTGAAATTTCTCGAATACTTGTTTTTTTTCGACTGATTTGATAAATGAATAAAAAAAAATCTATAATCTAATTTTTTTTTAATTACGATATATAGATAAAACTGCTATTCAGTCGATTTTAAAATACATAACAATATTTAACAAACCTTTTGGACAAAAGGTCAACACTTTAAGACCCCAATTATACTTTTGTAAGAACATTAGATTTATTCCAAATTCCATCTAAAATAAATTGTTCATTTAGGTAATAAAAAAAAAATGTTAATACCTTAAGCTTTTTTCAAAAAAGTGTGACTGAATACCCTGCAGATTGCAGTTTACTCGCACATTTTCTACGGCTAACAAAATTCATAATCGTATCTTTTAATTTATTTAAATTTAATTCAGTGTTTATTTTTCAAACTTTTTATGTAAATAGTTTTGGATTAACATCGAGTTATAATTTATTAAATTATTAATTAAAAACTGAAACATGCATCCAATCTAAATTTTACGCCTATTATCACCTATATAAAAATATTTAACAGAACGCCATTCATGTTTTATATTTAAAAAAAAAACAAACAAACATATTCGCTTAACGAAACTATGCACGCCAAGAAACGATGTACGCTATACGATACAATACGATACGATATACGCTTAACGAAACGATGTACGCTAAACGATACGGTATACGCTAAATGAAACGATGTACGCAAAAACATACGATGTACGATAAAAGGGCGCTTATTTTATCGTTTATGGTAAGGTTTATGGGACATGGTTTCGTTCGTACATCATTCGTTCAGCGTCCGTACAACGTTCGGTCAGCGTTTCGTTTGCATTCGTACACCGTTCGGGAAGCGTACGTACATCGTTCGGGCATCGTCCGTACATGATTCGGGCATCGTTCGTATTGTTAACTTTTACGTTACACGGACTGTACTTCAATCTTAACATAATTGTTGTTTTAAGAAATGATTTGCTCGTAGGTTGATGATTAGAGAAGTCTCATTATTTTACCAAAACAAGAACGCTTACTAAAAACATGTGCAAATACTTGTCAAAGAAGTTGGCGCTCGTTTCATCCGATATGATTCTATATTCATTGCAACTCTTTTTCTGATAGAAGGCCACTGTGTAGGCGTAATATGTATAGCTGTTTCAATAATTGGCATTGAAATCTTTCATACATATGTTATTTTTTGTTATTTTATTCCGAAAAGAAGCGTTGTGTATGGTCAATTCAATAATTGATGATACGAAATTAAGATAAGATTTTGAAGACAACTCTCCATCAATTATATGTCACAGTACAACATTTGAGAGCAACTCTTATGACCTTAACACTGAGCATTCTAACCTGACACAGACAGATGGAAAATATAATTAATAATCTCTTAATTATTGTAGGCTGAACAAAATATAAGAATTGCAATTGTCTGGGTGATGGGTGAAGGAAAAATTAGTGTCTTCAATATGCTTAAATTTTTTTTTAATTGTATGCCCCAATATAATGATGGAAGAAACTGATTCTTAAAAATAATGATAAAATTCTGTCTACAGCTTTCAGAAGTAAATGTGGTTTATTTTTTTCCGGGACAAAGTACTACAAGCCAGAGAATTATTCACTAGAAACCCTGGAAATGGTTTCAGAGACAGAGTGGCAGCAAACCTCACTGATATGACCCTTAAAGTGAGAAGAGAATGTTTGAATACTATTTTTAGCAGATGAGGATCCAGTATGTTAAAACAACTTGTCAGATAAAGATGTTATAACCTATACAATAATCATAAATTTAGCTCCATAAGGTGTAATACCACCATTGTTTTTCCTCGATCATAGTCTGGGTTAAAATTGCACTACAAACAAAATTGTGCAGAATTTTTTTTATGTTTCAAATAAAGAAATACCTTGTATCCAGTACTATGAACAAAATTTCAGATAACATTTTGCATATAAGAAAATAACTATCACTGGAAGTCCAACCAATCAAGTTTTCACCTCTTTTTTTCACGGTCAAGCCCCAGCTTAAGGTGTTACCTAACAGTACAGGGAGATAACTAAAAAATTAAATCACTTTGTAATGTTAAGGAAATATAAAGCTTCTCAATGATCATTAATAAGTGTTTGTCAAACTGCTATATATCCAATGACATGTTTCCAAGAAAAGTGTGTGGTTCACGTTTTTATGTGTAATCATGTAATATAATCAATAAAACTTTCTTTTATAATATCTTCATCCACTGTGCAGCTGTTTTTGTTTTATGGTCAGAATTATTTTTGAGGTTTATAAAAGCAAATCGTGGAGTTTGCATCATAAATAAAGGGCAAAGGTATACATTTTAAAGCTTTATATCCGGTACTTCTACGTAAATTCATTATTATGTGTTTAGACTGTTAGCATAACATCTCTGCAACCAATTTGTCGAAGTTAAGACATGATTATTTAACTTTTATAGTAACTTGTTTCATTTTCTCTTGCATCATGAATATAAACAGGAACTGTAATAAATCACTTTTTTTTCTTATAAAGAGTACTTTATATTATAGGATGTCAGTGCAGACAGCATAACAACAGTTACATCTGTTGCTAGTTATGAAGAGTCAACATTTGAGGAGGTGAAAAAGATGTTTACAGGATATGAGGCTAAGCATGGTCCTACAAAGAGCTTCCCTAAAAAAGTAAGTTAAAAAATTAAATGCTAATGAATTGATAGATATACATCTGATGTAAATACTACAGAACTTGAACAGGATCAAAATCAAGTGTGTTTTGCAGTAAATTATATATATTTAAGTGGTGTTAGAATTTATATAGAATAAAACAATAGATTATTTCCTCTACCAACACCAAATTGGAAACACAAAACTCGCAGTAAATGATTAATTTTAAAAAATATTAAAAAAAACCTGTTAGTTTTTGTCTGAATAGAACTTATCACCCAGTTTGTAAAATTGTATAAGATACCATTGAAAAAAATCTCACAAGTGTTATTTGTGGTATGTCTAATAAATTACGAGTCTCTTTTTTTAAATACAAATTTTCCCATTACGCCAATGTCATTCAGACTCTCTCTGGACTTTACGTATAAAATGAAATAAGATCAGATAACTCCGAGAAACATTAAGACCTCCCCATAAAATATGGAAACTGAGATATATAAAGAGAGTGGGAAGATACCTTTTACTGCGAGACGTATGTTTCCAATTTGGCGTCGGCAGACGAAATAATTACAATTGACATACTTGGGTAGGATTGCTAAGGATGATTCCGACAACAAAAGTAGGCGTGTTATCCACCATTGTGTAGAAACATCAATTAAGATTTACGACATAACAAGTTTAAGTGGAGTTGACAACCGAGAAATCGGCATATAATGGAATTTCGCGACCAGCTGACATTTTTCAATATGTTATATTAAGGTATATAGGAAAAAAAATTTCTGAGACAAGTGCCTGTGTGCAGTACATAACCTGAGGATGTGCATGAAGAAAATAAATCCTGTCTGAAATGTGTCAAGGGAGATCGTTTAATTTACTTAGTTTCATATTGCAACATGTGGCAACAAGTCTTGTCAGCACCACCTCTCTCTAATTGCTAATTAATATTGATAAAAAAAATTGTAGTTGCAGTAAATTGGGCTAAAAGATCTACATGAAGAGTAATTATCAGGGTCCTAAATATTTGAAAGGGAGATAATTAAATTTACTTAAAAGTTTGATATTGCAATATGTGGCAAAAGGTCTCCTAAGCACAACTTCTCCTTAACAGCTTAATCCATTATGTTGAAACTTTACACAGTTGTAGTACACAACCTACAAATGAGCATGAAGGAAAAAAATCAAGGTCAATAATATAATGAGGGAGATAAATGAATATAATTAAGTTTAATTATGCAATATGCAGCAACAGGTTAAGTGTAACTCCTCCTTAATGACTTGATTTTTAATTTTTGAAACTATTCATTGTTGCAGTTCACAAACTGTTGATATGCGTGAAGTAAACTAAAGCTGGTTGAAAATATTCCAAGGAGGAGATAATTGAATTCACTAAGTTTGATATTGCAATATGTGCCTAAGGTCTGAAGTAAGCACAACTTCTCCTTAACAGCTTAATCCATTTTGAATTTGTTGAAACTTTACACAGTTATGGTACACAATATTGGAATGAGCATGAAGGAAAACAGTACTGGTCCAAAATATTTCAAGGGAGATAATTGAATATAGCTAGTTTAATGTTGCAATTTGTGTCAGCAGGTCTTGTAAGCACCACTCCTCCTTAATTGCTTAATTAATATTAATAAAAAAAATTGTAAATGCAGTACTCAGCTTAAGGATCTGAATGAAGATTAATTAACCTGGTATGAAATGTTAAAAGGGAGATAATTATAGATTATTTATGATTTTTTAAAGAGATACATTTTCTCATTCTCATCTCGACTTGTGGTTTAAAAAATATAAAAATAATCTATATCGTTATTATATGTATGTGTATTTATTTTTAATATCATTTAATACAAATTACAGCAACAAAAAAAAAAAACTAATACGATAAGAATACATTTTCCCTTTGTTGGTACAATACTATTTTTTTTCGCATAGGCTTATTTGATATATGTTTAGTCATAATTTAAAATGACTTTCATTCATTTGAAAAATGGTATTTGAACTGATCAGCCAGCGTATTCAAAGATTGCTTACACCATTTTTACTATCTTTGAAATCTCTATTTTGTAGGTTGGTCATCTAAATTGGATTTTTGATTTTTATTTTGATTGTTGTGTACTTGTTTCTTTCTTTCATTAGATTATTTTTCTAATGTCCAGTCATTTATATTGGGAACTTCAAGTAAAAATATGCCAAATTGTTGTTGTGTACAAAAATTTTCTATTTCTTGAAGCATTCTATATCAAAATTAGAGTCCTACAATTCTGATGTGTCCTTGACTAAACATTTGGGGGGATGAAATATACACGCAGGACGAAGAAATATGTACAATACATGCAGACAAACAGACACACAATCATTTAATTGTAGCAGATTTATGTAAAAAAGACATTTTTTTTCATTTGTAAGAAACATAATTTAACTGCTTTATATTAAAGTATAAATTTACAGTAAACTAAAAATATTTTTTAAATGACATTTAAGCACAGTCATCCAGTATGTTTGTTATAGTTCCCGCTAAACTTTTCTGATTTGTCGACACTAGCTGTGGATATGGATAAATATGCTGTTGCTATTAAGGACCTTAGAAACTAGCGATAGTTTTCATTATCAAGAGAGTCAAATGAGAATGTCAATGAAAGTTATCACATACAAAGATCAATGGAAAAATACACATAATAGCGCTAATTGAATTTAATTAGTTTAATATTGCAATATGTAGGAAAAGGTCTCCTAAGCACATTAACTTCTCCTTAACAGCTTAATCCATTATGTTGAAACTTTACACAGTTGTAGTAAACAACCTAAATATAACCATGAAGGAAAATAATCCTGGTCCATAATATTACAAGGGAGATAATTGAAGATACTTATGTTTAATTTAGTAATATGTGGCAACAGGTTAAATGCAACTGCTCCTTAATGACTTTATTTTTATTATTGAAACTATTCACAGTTGCACTTCACAAACTAAGAATATGCATGAAGTATCTAAACCTGGTTGAAAATATTCCAAGGGGGAGATAATTGATTCACTTAGTTTGATATTGCAATATGTGCCTAAGGTATCCCATTCGTGCAACTTCTCCTTAAGGATTTACTCAGGTGAAATAAAAATACTTTGAAGTTGGAAGGGCATTTTCTTTGGAAACAGAATAAGCTAAACATTTTGATAGGTTATGGAGCTCCTTTTCGCAATATTTGAATTTTAAATAAAATGCTCCGCTGGGGCGCAGCTTGATTCGACCGCAGAGGTCGTACCCTGAACAGTTGTGGCAAGTATGGACACAACATTCAAGCTTGATACAGCTCTGAATTTGGATTGTGATTAAATATTTGACACAGCGCAGGGCTCACACTACTTCAGAATCATAGGGGGAAGTGACTTTTCTTTTTGAAACTGATAGGGAGAAGTGGTGAGATTTGAAAGAGAAGTGCTCCTTCGCACACTGCGCTACAATGTTTTGATTTTACTATAGTATAAAGGGTCATATGTAAATAATGTTCTTTTTATATGTTTTTATATTGTTCAATTCATATCTGAGTATACAATTAAATTAACAGTTCAAATTCAAAGTTGTTTAAGTTTAGGTTCTTGTGAAAAACTACCAACTCAATTTCTAGCACTAAAAAGAATTTTTTTTTATGTCAAAAAGGTAAAGAAATTATAATATATGAATTACAATTCAATTAAAAACTATCTTGTTTATCATGTTTATGAAATTCAGTGTTTCTCATCAAAAGATATACAAAGTTAAGCTGGGCCATACTATATTGATACTGAAACTACTATGTGTTATAGTTGTCTCAGATTGATATTTTATAGTAGTTAAGCAATTTTAATCAATATTTTGAAACAATCCATATAAATTATATGGAATTATATACATTAATCAATTAGATCTAATTAAAAGTCTGTTAATGCGTGTGGAATGCGTAATTTTTCGTTTTGGGGTCAATAATCTTCTGTCAGCTGTTCCATTCATGCGTCTGTAGTTATTATTGTAAAAATACAGATTTCGGATATAGCTGGTCCGGTTCCGATCCGTAGTTAGTTAACGGTTAATGGCGGACGAAGAAAATTTACAAAAATAAACGATGTTTGACAAGCTATTTGGAAAGGAATGTGACGTTTTTAAAACAATAAATGGATTAAACATTTACTGGAGGCAACTTTTATAACTTTCAAATGAAGTAACAAACTTATTTTGCCGCTGAAAGTTAGATTGATGTACGCTCTCTGAGTAACAAGTACCGGAAGTGCATGCAGTAATAAAAAGTTGTCTTTTTATTAAATAACCTTCTACACACTGTAAAGTCAACGCTCAAACCTCTTTTCTTAAGAAAATGAATCGTTTATGTCTTAATTTCTTTAATTATCAATAAAAAATTGATGTTTTATCAACTTGGTAAAAATTGAAAATGTCCGATGACGAAAGCGACTGAAAGCGAGTATCGTAAACAACAGGGCGACTTGTTTTCGCTTTTGAGGGTCGGGCAAAGTGAAGTGACGGACGGGAAAGCAACTTCTTTGCCCTAGTCGCCTGGTAGCGTGAGCCCTGCCTGAGCATAGGTTTCTGACACAGAATGAATGTGGTCTAAGAACTTAAAAATTTTAATTTACCTATTATGGTCCAATATCCAAAATCTAAATACATGGTTAGATTCAGCATATCAAATAATCCAAAGAATTCAATTTTTGATGATTTCTATATATAAATCAGAAATAACCAACTTAAAATGGAACTTTTTAAAGAAAAAAAAAGGAAAAAAGGGAAGAAAAAAATATCCCCCTCCAAATTTTTTGAACTTCCTTATGATTCATCACCCCCAAACTCAATCCCAGCCTTCCCTTTGTGGTATGGTACCTTGCAGTACAATTTCTGAGAGATCCATACACTTGAACACAAGTTATTGTCTGGAAACCAGAAAAATGCTTGTTTTTTGGCCCCTTTTTGGCCCAAAATTGAAATTCCTAAAGTTTAGGGCAATTACCCCCAAACTCAAACCCAGCTTTCCCTTTGTGATATGGAAACTTTAGAACAATTTCATAAAGATCCATACACTTACACACAAGTTATTGTCCTGAAACTAGAAAAATGCTTGTTGTTTGCCCCTTTTTTGCCCCTAATTCCTACAATTTTTAGGCAATTACCCCCAAAATCAATCCAAGCCTTCCCTTTGTGGTATGGTGCCTTGCGGTACAATTTCAGAGAGATCCATACACCTGAACACAAGTTATTGTCTGGAAACTAAAAAATGCTTATTTTTGGCCCCTTATTCCTAAACGTTTTGGGCAATTACCCCCAAACTCAATTCCAGCTTTTCCTTTGTGATATGGAACCTTGTAGTACAATTTCAGAAAGATCCATACACTTACACACAAGTTATTGTCATGAAACTAGAAAAATGCTTGTTGTTTTGCCCCTTTTTTGGCCCCTAATTCCTAAAATTTTGAGGCAAATACCCCAAAAATCAATCACAACCTTTCTTTTGTGATATTGAACCTTATGGTAAAATTTCATAGAGATCCATTTACTTAAACTAAGGTTATTGTGCGAAAACCAATGTGTCTTTGGACGACGACACCAACGTCATACCAATATACGACCGCAAAATTTTTTTGCGGTCGTATAAAAATGGCGGGAAAAGGCTAACTAGGAAGTTAACCTTATATTTGCATTGGTATTATTTGTGTCTCAAAGAAAGAATATCTAGAATCGGCTGAAATTTTGGTAAATAATCTTTTATGAGTTATTGAAGTCTTATATGAACAGAAAAATGGGTGTTATGGGGAAAAATATTTTACCCTATGAAGAAGGAAAAAAAACCAAGGAGTCTGAACATCTGACACACATTCTTAAACCTCACCAAAGAACATCCTTAACAGCTTAATCCGTATTGATTTTTTTGAAACTTTACACAGTTATGATACACAATATTAGAATGAGCATGAATGAAAACAATACTGGTCCAAAATATTTCAAGGGAGATAATTGCATATAGTTTATTATCAGTATTGCAATATGTAGCAACAGGTCTAGTAAGTGCAACCCCTCCTTAATGGCTTTATGTTTTCCTGCAAACTTGTTTGGGGGGGGGGGGGGGGGGGGGGCATAGAAATATAGTCTTTCACGACATGTTAGCATTCTCACATGTACAGTTCTTGCCCAATTTTTATGAAAATGATACATATTTTTATTTCAGCAATGTCTTGAATGAACGGCAAATTTAGAGCTGATCAGTTATGCCCCTTAGAAACATTAATAATACTGAATATTGCATTGTTATTGCTCCATTGTGTACAATTCTTGCCAGCTTTTTTTGAAATTTATATCATAAGTTTATGTTAGCAATGTCTTGGACATGTTAAAAAACACAGTGCTGATCAATTATTCTTAAAAGAGTTATGTCCTTTAGAAACGTTATTTACATGGAAAATTGCATCATTTAAGTGTTCTTATGTGTAGAATTCTTAACATATTTTTATGAAACTTATATCATAGGTTTATATTCCCAATGTCTTGGACAAGCTAAAAAATCAGTGACAATCAATTTTTTTTGAAAGAGTTATGCCTTTGGAATTATTTATTATATGGAAAATGAATATTAGCACTCTAATGTGTACAATTCCCACCAGAATTTCATGAAACTAATGTCATAGGTTTATATCAGCAATGTCTTTGACCAGTTTGAAAATCAGTACAGAGTTATACACCTTGGACATTGATTATATGAAAAATTGCATTATTAGTGCATTTATTATAATGGAAATCTCATTGCATTTGCTCTGAAGCCTTCATTCCTTTAAGATATTTATAAATAGTTTCAAAGAACAACAAAAAAGGTCTTTTATTTAGTATATAATACCTAAAGCCTTGTACCTTGGATAGATAAATCATGAGCAACGTGGGGGACGTTATTGCATATTGATGACACTTTTCACATTTGCAGTTCACAAACTGATAATATGCATGAACATCATTTGTGTCATTTTAGGACGTTGGCTACACTGTTTCAAAATAACAAGCTTTTTAAAAGGCTGTTATAAATTGATAGTATATAAATAAAGAAACTAAAGTATCAGAAAAAAACAAGGGGATATGTGCTTGTTTTTGAGGTATAGGCCAATGAAAATTTGGCGGGAAATAATTCTCTCTAGATTTTTCATACACTTAATTACCATTGACTCCTTTTTTTTCAAAAACGATGAAAAATGAACAAGGATTTCATAAGATTTTCAAAGGTGACATTTCAAACTATATGTAATCAAATTATTGATAGAAAAGTAGGGGTTGTTTTAATGGTACTATATGAATTAAACCAGAGGAATCAGAATATCTGGCAAAAATTCAGAAAGAAGAGGAGCGAACATCCTTAAAGATTTTTGTTCATTTTTTTTTACTGTCGTACTTAGTCATATTTCAGCAAAACCATAAGAATTAAGGAGGTATACATTTTGTGTTATAAACACATCCTTGAGTTTTCATCCTAGCCCCAGAAACTTTACAACTTTACAGGAAACCTGCACACATGTCAAAGTTGTGCACATGCCATTATGGAATTGTTGGAAGAATTTATTTCTGGTTATCCAAAATCAGAAACTTCGTTATTTTCCAGCAAAACACGAGGTAATTTTTATGAATATCTATTCATAGTGTTTAATTAAGATCCTAATTCAAACATCCCTAAAACAACCTACCCATTTGAAACTTTGACCCTTTTTATATAGCATATATGAATTTCTTGTTTTTCAGATATTTAGAGCATTGCAGGGCACTACTGAAGGGTGTAAATTATCGACTCTTAAAACCATTAACCAAGGCATCCACACCATTGCCAAAGCAATATAAGACAGAAAGGAAAAAGAAAATTAGGCTATTGAAAGACATTTTTTCTAAAGTTACTAACAGCTGTAAAGAAAATGCCAGGGTTTTATATCCTATCCATTTTGAAAGAATAGAGGAATTTTGCAGTAAGTAATTTTAAAACTATTATTATAAAAACAAGTTTATTAATTTAGTATAATTGCCAATGAGTAACCTGTTCAGCAAAGACTTATTTTTTTTAAAATGCAGCAGATATTAGCAAGACACTTCTATATATATATATATATATATATATATATATATATATATATATAGCTATATGAATAAATATAAAGGAATTAAATAATTCCTCCAAAAACCTTAAATGTTGACAGGCATTTTCATATGAAAATAAAAAATAATTTCTTTTGAAACTCTTTCAATAGAATCTTGTAAATTTTGTTATTTTCTGTTCAGTAATTTTATTCCGTTATTATTTTCATCAGTACTTGTGAATTTCTTTTTAAACTCACTTTTTTCAAAATTTCTTTTTATCTTACCTTTCCTAAAAGGAGACGTGTGCTTTTATCATCTTTGTGAGGGCTGAATTATCCTTAAGTATCTAGTATAAATCAAGTTTGTGTTTTATTTTCTTGTGAGAAGAAAAAATGTTGTTTTTGGCTTGTACCTTGACAACTTAAGCATTGAGAGCAAACGTTTAAGAAGGCAAATGTGTTTATCAGGTAATTTTACCTATCACAAAACTTTCTGATGATTGGACAACTGGTTTTTGAGTTATTGTCCCTGAATTGTATATTTTAAGGAAATTTGTCAGTTGCATGTATTGGTAATTGTCTTATTAAAAGGAAAAAATGACCAGCAAATTAAGATCTGCATAAGAATAAGATAAGAATATGTCAACCTGACCTAATTGTCTCCTTAATGAGTTATTGCCCTTAAATTCCTTAGGGATGTTTTTTTTTAATTTGTTTAACTTTCAGATATCTTTTTCTTTGAAAAAACTACATCAATTTCAGCCAAACTTAGGCTGAATGATTTTTAAGGTATTAAATATAGTTTGAAGCTTGTTTTATTTTCATGTATGTCAGAAAAACATATCCACATTGATGGTTAAAATAAAATAATATTGTAAAGGTTCTGCAGAACCCAGTGTCTTCTCTACTTCCACTGTTGTCACATAAATTGCATATATTTCTGGTAATTTCAGCTTATTCACTGTATGCAAATTTTAACTTAAAAAAACTCAGAACTGTTATCATTTTCAAAATTTGTCTGTATATGTTTAATGGATAACAAAGATACTTCTGTTCAAGTATGGTAAAACCCAGGGTGGTTTAATAAACTAGTAACTGTGCCCAAACATAGAATCAAACTGCAAAAAAAAGATATTGTGAAAGGATCAAGCCCACTAAATAAGCAGTCATGTTTTAAAAACTAGCTGACATAAGTGTCATATAAGCTTTCTCATTACTCAGAGTCTAGAAACACCGTATCTTCTTTGTTGTCCCCTTGAATTAACCCTTCCAAAAATCTTCTCTTGTGAACTACTGGGCAAAGTTAAACCTAAGATGGCCTATATTATCCTGGGGGCATCTAGTTTTAAAAGATGTATCTGATGCCAGTCCACCAACCAAGATGACCAAAATTTCTTTATTTTTTTTTACTTGATTCATACAAGCCACTGTTGGGTTGCTGGCCCTGAATTCATAATTTAAGGAAATTTTATAGTTTTGGGTTATCATCTCGAACATTATTTTAGATTGAGATAAACAGTGAACAGCAAAATATGATCTACATACACCTCAACATGACAAAAACGATCAATTGATTCCATACAGAATTTTTGCACTGTATTTGGACTTACAATTATTTTAAAAGCGAGCATCACTGATGAGTCTTGTATAGACGAAAAAGCGCATCTGGCGTAAAAAGAAATAATAAGCCTGGTATCTTTGTTAAGGCCAAAAACCTGTCTGTTTCCTGTTGCCAAGGCAAATAAATCCAGGTAGGAAGGTAGGGATATTTTTTTTTTTTTTTTGCACGTTTTTTTTTACATGCACTCCGTGTCAGATTTGCAGTCGGTTCAATGTCATGTTTGGTTGGGGTCCTGTACCCCAAAATGTGTTAATCTCAATATCTCTATGAATTTTCCTTTTCTGAGCAGCAATATTCTAGTATCACCTGCATATTGTTTAATACAAAGAAGATAACAGGACATGCCAACAATGACAGACCAAACAACAATAGGAAAAACAAACCACTATTCACAAATTGCACACAACATATAATATATACAGCTTTATAATTAAATAACACTTGTTTTAAAAGTTTCCAATGACCAAATTGGACTGTTTTTATTAATTTTAATTAATATTTACATCTTTCATATTAAAAATCAATATTTTATTTCATATCAAAGGATAAAATGGATTACCCTTTCTATAAGTGATTAAATGTTAATGCAGACATGTTTAAATAAAAAGGCTAACATACTGTGGGTTATTAATGAAAAATTTATATTTGCCAATTCAAAACTAAATACTAATTTTTTAGGTTGTGTTTGATAACTTTATAAATATTTGAATTATTGCCACCAGAAATATTTGACAATACAGGTTTTAGCACTTTCCCGCCTAAATTGTCTCCCTTCTAGCTACAACTTCCTGTTCCTATTTACACTTTGAAATGGATGTTTCTGTGTATCATGAAATGCTATTTCATATCCAAGCAATCCCCTGTTAATATCGATTTTAAAATAAAATTTAATCGACATTTATTGATAATTGGATGGCATAACACAATAATTTATATTTATTTACGCGATTTTTTCGTTTTATCTTCTATTTGATTGTGAAAAAAGGAAAACGGTTCAAGGAAAAGTAATTGTAAAATACGGGCTTGTAATGAATTCCTGGACAAAGGGAATACTTCCTTCATGCAATGAAGGTTCAACAGTTTAGTTGTGACCACTAAACAGTAATGAAATAATCATAAATGATTGAAAAAGTAGACAAGACCACATTGTCAGAGAACGGGTAAACTTTCCCTTAAATACTTTGAGAATGAATTATTGAGCACTATCCATCCATTTTATTAAGTTTCCGCACCTTTTAACTCTTTAAAATGACAAACTCGGGGAAATGAATAGGTCATTTTGATTTTGTTCCGGAAATTAAAGAAAAAATCCATGTCGGGGGTTTTGAGTCCAGGTCGGTCGGGCAACAGGAAACAGACATATATTTTTTTCAAGCAAATTTTTTTTAACAATTTTCATAGATACTTGTAAACTTTTGAAAAAAACTTCCTCTGAAACTACTTGGCAGTTAAACTTGGCCACAATGATCATTAGGGTATCTCAACCGAAATTTATGTCCAATATTCCCTGCCCACCAACTAAAATTGACTGCTCAGACTTAAAAATAGAACATATTAGGGTAGACTATGGTCACTGCTTAAAATTAGTGTAAATAATGAGAAGGGGTCTTATTTACTATTGTAGGCACCAATTTGATGATATGATTTTCATTCTGAGTGGGGAGTGCTTTTTTTTGGGGGGGGGGGGGGGGGGGTCAAGTAATTTCTTCATGATACACTCAATTTTAATATTATTCAGTGTTAATATTTCTTTTAATCTTATTATACTCTCTAAGTCTTTTAAAAAACTATATTCCGCAAATGCACAATGCTTATCTGTCTTAAAACCTACTTTTTGTAGAGGGTATTGATGTGTATAGGTCCTTAACTCACAAACTGTATAATAAGTTTGTGAGTTACTGACATGTTAATTTAAACATAAATTACATCTAAAAAAATGTTTTTATAACCCCATCACTAAATAGTCAGGGCCATATTAAGTTTTACCATTGTCTCAATCATTCCGCAACAAATCATTTATACAGGACTTATGTTTAATATTAAATACTATAACTCTGTTAAAGAATGTCCTGGCGGACATATTTTCAGAGGACTTTATGTCCCAAAGGACACTTTCTATTATGATTAAAGTATTAAATAATATACATTGCCATATAAAAAAGAAGATGTGGTATGATTGCCAATGAGACAACTCGCCACAAGAGACCAAATGACTAAAAAATTAACAACTATAGGTCACCGTACGGCCTTCAACAATGAGCAAAGCCCATACCCCTTGGTAAGCTATAAAAAGGACCCGAAATGACAAATGTAAAACAATTCAAATGAGAAAGCTAAAGGAGTTACCATTTGATTTTTATGGGTGGGCTAGGATGAACATTTTTGTCCCCCTTAAAAATCACACAAAGAACCCCTTAAGGAGCTACAATTTAATTTTGATGGGGCTTTGGTGAAATTTGATTAAAAGCATGACAAGAGTTTCGAGTAAAAGAAATGCAGAATGAGCAACCGGGAAAAAAATTTAGGATGAACTATATATATAAAAAAGTAAAGATAAACAAATAAAAAAAAATGCAGGACCGATTACAATAAAGAAAAAAGCAGGTCAAAGGTTTATCCACCTAAGAAAAAAAAGACAGGACAAAATATTTCATCCTAGCCTCTTATAAAATCAAATGATAGTTATCTTATTTGAAATTGAACAAAATATCAGACTGTAACTGCTGAGTAAATAAAGAAGACTTACGTGGGATAGAAATGAAGGGAGAAGGTTGAGTGCTCACAAAATATGTTTCATTGTTGTGTCTGTCCTAAGTTAGGAACATTTAGCCTTTGTTCGTCTTGTATGTTGTTTATTTTGTTTTGGTTCAAGTTTATTTTTTGGAGTGTAGAATAGCGTCCTTTTTCTTGATCTAGTGCACATTAATTAGTGTTTCGCTGCTACCTCTGGTGTGGGATTTTCCGTATTGAATACCTATTGGTAGCATTGGGTTGACTTGCATATTTTGGTCGAGTTGTTGTCTATGTCACATTTCCCGTTTCCATTCTTTTTTCTAGGATTTCATAAATGCATGGACTACGTTAATAAGTTGGGTTAGTTCATGTATGCATGGACTAATGCTGTTAAAGCAATGGAGTTTTATATATATTTAAATGAAAAAGTGGTGTTAGTCCATGCATGATTGTACTAATTTCGTTGGGTAAGTCCATGTATGCATGGTCTAACCAAACCATGCATACATTAATTGGGTTAGCCAATGTGTGCATGGAC